AGTTTGCTTATTATGACTATTCTCCACTCTGTTACTGGTACAGGATGTTTTAGCATTTCCCATTGTAATTGCCACGTGTGGCCACAGTGACTGCTATTAGCAAAAAAAAAGGTAAAGTGTCACTTTAAGGCCTTGACTAACAAAGTGTGTTTTAATGGTGAATATTGGCACTCTATTAAAGTTCTGTCCTGATCTGTCCTAGATAAGTCGCAGATTTGCTATATTGCAAAAACGCATTAATTAAACTCTCAAAACACCTGTTATACACATACACATACTCAAAAAGGAATGTACTGTTGTTTGGTGTAATGGGCAGCAATGTGGAAACTGTCTTGCGCCATGTTTTGTTGCTCCCCACTAAACTTCCACCCATAAAATATGTTTACATGTTGTGCCACCTGACCTGATAACTGACTCATTAGTCAGTCTTACCAGGCCGATCTGCAGTGGTGTAATGTAACTCACTACATTTACTCAAGTACTGACCTAAAGTACAGAGAGAAACACTGCATTTATTCACTCCAGTACATTTATCTGACAACTGTTACTATTGCAGATTTATATTTATATACAAAACATGACATTTACAGGGGCCATTTTGCTGCATAATAGTAAAGTACTTTTACTTTTAATACATTTTTTTGAAAATACTTTTATTTAGGTAAACTTTTGAAAACAAGACTGTAATTTGTAATTGATTATTTTTATATCCTAGTATTGCTACTTTTAAGTAAATAAGAGTACTACTTCCACCACTGCCAACCTGCCCTGGGAGTTGTTTCCTGTTCTGTTAACCCTAATCCCAATTGAGCTGCACTACCAGGACCACATTGCGAGCCAGTAAATACATTGCGAAACTGAAACTGTTACGTTGCCATTTTCACAATCCTGTGTTGTTTGTTTGCTCTCTGCTGGGTTTCTGTCTTCCTGCTGTAGTCCAGACTGCAGCTGTGACAGCCAGCACTGCTGATGCCAGTTCATTTGGACACTCAGTGTTTGGCATTATGGAGGAGGTGATGTCAGTCACTGTGATAATACCTGGGGGCCGTGGGAACACATAAGTGGTGCTGAAAGGCAAACTGACGCCCCGTCTATCAAAATATGACCAAGTGTATTTCACAGACATACAGCTGAGACAGCTTGTTACAGCTAGTTGGCTACCAAACCAGCCCGACAACTAACGGATTTCTTGCTCCAGCCAGCGTTTCTCCCAACAAGCAAATTATTAGCAAACGACCTTAATATGACTGAGACGCCAAGCACATTAATGCTCAACAGTGACCTTGAAGTGAGATTTCACTCATCTCATCTCAGAATGGTGTGTGCTGGATATTTTTGAACAGATATGTGCACATAAGGTAACACAATAGAACAAAGGCCATTTCCATGAAAGTAATGATCCAGTGTCCTAATATCATCGAACATGGAATACTTGCCAGATGCTCATTGAAAGGAGTTTATAATCTGCTTTCATGGTTGAACGAGTCTTTTGTGACATATTTTTTTGTTGTCTATCATTTCCCACAAAAAGTAATACTCACATTATGCTTTTCACAAATCTCCGACTGGCTTCGGTACTTAAATAGTTAATGTATCATAAATGATTTACACAGTCAAGTAGAAAATGTCTTTGCTTTGAGCTCATGATTCTTTCAGATGACAGTCATCTCCCAAAGCCACATGGCATGATCAGCATTAATTAGTAAATAAAAACACAGACAAAGGAACATTCTTTCAAAAATAGTTTTATTAAATACTTTGCCAACTAGCTATCATAAATACAGAAAAAAAAAACAATACGTTATGTTCAGTGATCAGCAGTGGCTACGCAAAAAGGGAACGTCCTCAGGAGACCATCTGTTACAAGGGGGTCTTTGGGTGCAAGTCCCACTGGGACAGCTGAACCAAATCCCACAGCACCAGCTGGGAGAATTAAGCCTAGAATAAATAATGGGGCGACAGGGCATCTTTGGCTGAGGACAAAACAATGTCTTGACAGGAACACAAATGGATTCAAACGGCCTCAACTTTCCCTCCACTGATCGGGTGGAGTCCAGTATTCTAGTGGCGCCTGCCATCCCAGAGTAACATCCTGAGAGGAGCTGTCACTTGTCATATCGTCCTTGATCCGTCTTAAATAGTCTCCTCAGTTGAAAGCCTGCGCCAGGATTTCATTTCCCTTCAAAAAAGACAAGTAAAAATAATGTTAGTCCACATTCTCACTAAATTTCTCCTTGTTATTATTAGCCATTTACCACAAAGTCAGAACTTACACATTACTGCCCGGCACAATCGTCTCTTGGTGTTGCTTTGTCAAACTGAACCTTCTGAAGAATGAGGGCAATTTGAGCTTTGTTCTGGCGGACCTGGAGGAAACACTGGAAAGGAAAAGTTCCTGTGTTAGACAAAACGTGGCACTGCAGAGCTGAGGTGCTAATGAGAAGCTCTGTGGACAAATGCACTGGTTAACGTTGGTGTGTGAATGGATAGGTATGGCTGGAATTTCTTGAATGCAGGTTCCAGTTCTTCAAATTCAGCACTGGTTTTAAAGAGACACTTATCAATTTATTTGTTTGTTGTTGTTTTTTTTAACATTTTCAGTCCACACACTGCACTACAACAGCAGTGTCACACTGTTTGAAAAAAAAAGTTTTCTGTTTGCAGATGTCATCTGCTTATGAAAATAGTCCTGAAAATGCCCATAAACAACAAAGAAACTGACCCGTAATCCAGTATATGTTTTTCCTTGTATCAATGCCTACCTATGTGTCTGTTCACACTGTTAAACCTACCATTCTGCTTGTAAGGAGGATTGTTGTTTAGTCTCCATCCTCTCCTCCTCAGCTTCTTGTTTCAGTGCATCTTCCTCTTCCTCCTCTGCCTCCTCGTCCTCTGGTATCATCTCCCACAGCCTGCTGTTGACCCACAGAGCTTCCTGCAGGCTGAGGCCGCGTCCTATGCAGGTGACCCGACGACACAAAGGGCAGCCCACGGTGACAAGCCCGCTCCTGGCCTGCGACATAGTCTCCAGGCACGGCTCGCAGAAGGTGTGCCTGCAGTGGAGCACCCGGGGGATCCTGTCCATCCGTGAGTAGGGCGAGAAGCAGACGCTGCACTCGCTGTCCTCACACAGCACCATGGTCAAGCAAGTCTTTCTGGATGATCTAGATCCTTTAGGTCCCAATGAAAACCACTTCACTATCTAGCAACTGATAAGGGCTGTTGAAGTAGATGGTTGCTGCAAGTCCCAAGTTTGCAGTTTGCTTCTCTCTCTGTTAAATAAAAATTGGTTTTGCAAATGGTTATTAGATTTGTTGCCGGATAACAATTTAAACCTTTTCACATCACTAATATTTGAAAAGCAAAATTTTTATATCTAAATAAATTGAAAATACATTACTTATCTTGCTTATTTTAATTTTCGTAGATACCTCTCAGATGATACTTTAGTTATGTTGTTATTTAGGCCTAACTGTCAGGTGTATATTTTGAATATAACCGAGGCTGTCTGCTGACAATAAAGAAAGCTTAAGAACATGAGAGTTAAATAACACTGAAATCGATGACCATAACACAAAATATGCAATATACTAAACATTATATTTGAATGAAAAAGTTTAAATAATACTAATAAATACGTGTCTGTAAAGCCTACTTACAGTATAGACTCAGTTCTCCTTCAGACCTGTTTGAGAGTATTGTCCCTTTGGAGTGAACAGCACAGCCACACTGCAGTGAATGGGGAGGGAGAGCCGGCTCGTCTGCCGCCTGTTAGGAGTGTCTGTTATATTTTGTGGGGGCGGGACAGAAACGTCTCCCTCGGTCCTCACAGCTCAACCCCTCCCAACAGCTGGGGAAGCAGAGCCGTGGGGGGACGCTCTTTGTTCAGTGTTTGAGAGAGGGCAGGTGGAGGAACGGGGTGTGCGAGGTTGAAGAAAGGTTGAGAGCGGTGATAAAGGAAAACAGTGAGAACGAACCTAGCTTGCTGCTCCCTTATAGAAAACGTGAAGCACATTATCATAAATTTGGATGTAACATATTAAAATAAAAATTTAGATATTTGGACAAGCAGATTCTTTTCCGGAAAGAAAAAAAAAAAAACAGGGCTCGTCCGGGATTTGAACCCGGGACCTCTCGCACCCAAAGCGAGAATCATACCCCTAGACCAACGAGCCATATTGGATGGAGCATATTGTTGAATTTTAATACTTAGTCGGTTGGATGTTTTCTTCTTTTTGTCTTTATTTTGTTTATGTTTGTGATATATGACTCCATGTGTAAAAATTCATAGCACTCTTAGGTTATATGCTGTTACTAATCCTACCTACCTGCTGTTAGCTAACGTTAGCCCCAACGTGAAGGTAAAGACCGGATGGTCACGCTATGCTTTAAAAACAACATCGAATCTTTTAATTCAGTCACGCAGCAACCTGCAGCTCCAGGGCAGCCGCCCCACTGCAATAAAACCAAATTATAGGGAAATTTTGAATGGATTTTACATTCATGAATCCAAAATATGGGCTCGTCCGGGATTTGAACCCGGGACCTCTCGCACCCGAAGCGAGAATCATACCCCTAGACCAACGAGCCACGTGTTCAAGCTGGGCGATATAAGATAACTTAAAGAATTACACTAATCTGTTTGAAGCCTGTAAATCAATGTTTTGCATGCCTATACTGTATTATTATCTGGATTATATATCGTTTCACAAATCATCGCAAGCACAGTGCTAATTTGGCCCCAGACCATCGATATAACAGTGGAAACAAGCTTCATTACAGCATGCGATGCGAAATGTAAAAAGGATGTAACGTTAACGTCACTGCAGCATCGTGTAACTTTAATTGTTATGTGCTTGGATGAATATTCTAATTTGGTCTTCTTGGAAGAGATAACTTCAACCAACACCATGATGCAGAGGACAGCGCCATCTGACCTGCCACTGTGGACGTACAGCGTGCTGAGGTCACAGGTTGGAGGTGGAGTTACCGCCTAAGGAAATCAGTTACTGATGTAAACAAAAGTAGTTAGACGCACTGAAACTAGCCAACGTTAGCTACCAACGTTAACGTGTGCTAACCTTGTTAGAAACGTTAACCCTCACTTAGCCTTGCTATAACGTTAATCCAGACTAAATTGATGTAACGTCAGTTATTTAATTTCAAGTCACGCTGACGTCATTTCTGATCAGCTTGGTTAGGGTTAACGTTAGCTAACGCTGGTAACGTTAATTCTGCCACAGAGGTTGCTAGGTTAGTAAATTTAGCGGGTAGCTCACTTGAGGCAAGTTCAAAGTATCCACAAAGCCAGTAAGTTATTAAAAAGACTTGATAAACACTGAGAGCATCTCTTCCAGCCAGATGGAGGCTTCTCTGGGATGTCTGCAGAATCCTGATTTAAGGTAACGTTAAGTTAATGTAAACTGTGGTTAAAGCCAGTGTCTAGCTAACTAACCTGTGCTAAATACACAGACAACCAGTGATGGTGAGGTCTTGCAGAGATGGCAACCTCTCGGTGATGTGGTATTTTAATGGATCCAAACATCGCCATGTTTTGATATTTTGTATCTGTGGTCCAGCTCTGTCCTGTCATCATGTGAGCCAGAGCTTCAGGAGCTGATGAGACAGATTGACATTATGATCAATCATCAGAAGCAGCAGTGGGAGGCTGAGATTCAGACCATGAAGCTCAAACTGAAAAGTGGAGAAGAGGAGCTGTTGACTTCCAGGAATCTCATTGAACGGAGGGACCTGGAGGTACAGTACCAGACCCTCCCTACAGTTATACTGTACAGGTTTTGATGCAGATACACCAGTGAGGGTTATCGAAGAGCTAGGATGGCATTTCTTTTTCATTTTTACCAGAGAGAGCAATGGAAATACATTTGCAGTCATTCACTTGGAATATACTCTTTTGTTGTTTTACACCACATTTTTAAAATACCATTACTGTCATGACGCCTGATCATAGATCGGATTGCTTCGCAAGCAGCTGGAAGAAGCCCAGCCTGGTCGACAAGAGTTAGTTACCAAGTACGAGCAACAACTGCAGAAAGTCCGTGAAGAGGTGAGATACTTGTCAGTTACACAATTAAGAACAGTTGTTAAACAGCCTTTCAAATTACTCATCAGTGGATTAAGGTATACATTTTGTAAAAAATCTTTTCAGTTCCTCAACGTGTCTTGAAATTCCCGGTGTAAATTGGTACTTAACAGATTTGCAGTATCAAGGTTTACTTTAAAGCGATAGTAAGTGATTGTAAGTTGTAAAATTCAAATATCAACAATCCCTCTGCAGAATCACTTACTCTCCCTTTAAGTCTTGAATTTGAATTTGAACTTTAATTTTAGAGTCCTCTCTCACCAACATTTTCTCCTGCAGTTAGATAAATTAAAGAGAAGTTACCACAAACTTCAGCGCAAACAGCTCAAGGAGACCAGTGGAGTAGCAAATACTAAAGACACGGACCATTCAGAGGTGACCCGACTAAATGAAAAGATTGAGGTACAACAATATTAGTCAAATTCCCCTTATATTCTATTCCTTATATTAAACCAGTCATTTACAGATTATATTTTACTGCCACCCACTGTTTATGTGGAGTAAAAGCACCCTTGTCTCTTCCTGCAGGAATATCACCAGCGCTCTGTAGAGTGGGAGCAGCAGCGCATCCAGTACCAAAAACAACTGACGGCCCTGGAGGCCCAGAAAGAGAGCCTAACTGATGAGCTCGCACACATAAAAGTAAAAGCAGATTAATAACTTTAACATGTAAGATCAAGTCAGACAGTTTAATGCTGAAGGAAAGTGGAGTCAGACTATTTCTCACACATATTTTCTGTCATTTTTCCCCCAGGCCCAGTGGGCATCATTGCAAAAGGAGAGGGAGCACAGGGAGTGTTGCTTAGAGGTGCAGCGTCTGTGTACTCAGCTGGAGAAGGCTCAGGGCAGCCTGCACTCACAGGAGCTAGAACTGGAACGCCTCCGACCCCTCGAGATGTGCCTGGGACAGTACCAGAGAGAGCAGCAGGTTAGCAGAATGACACATGAAGATTGTTTCCACCAACTTGCACGGATAATATTTTTAGTCTTTGACAGTTAGGGAGGAGCATAAACCTTACGACTGAGTAAATGCACTCGACAACACACTGGCCCAGACTGGAACAGACCCGGTCCAACTTTGTTTGATCAGTCATCACGGCCAAATCATCTTCCTAAGCATCTCAACAGTCATAATGGGTGATCAGTTTGAGGTCTCTTACCATCCCATATTTTGGGTACCATTTTTTCCCTTTGTTTTAACACATGTATCAGTTTCTCTTAGGCCAACTGACAATAAGGTACAAATAAGCAGGGGTTAGCAACCGACCCACAGTATACATTACTGCTAACCAATATCACAGGAAGGTCTGAGGGAGAGCATAATGTGTGTGATCTGTACACAAAGAGTTTCCTTTTTGTAAGTCACATAAAATGCATGTTCTTTCTGTAATATACGATTCAGGACCCGCTAGCTAGCCACACATCTGCAGGCTAACTAGCTAATGTAAGCATAGCGGGCCACAGTAGCTAGAGTTAGACACAGAGTCTGGCTCTCTCTCTCTGTCTTGTTTGACCAGTAGAAAAAGGCACGTCCTTGTGGTTAATCAGAATGAAACTGCTAATGAAGACAGGAGAGCTGTGCTGCGTTCAAGGTGTTGACGGTAAAAAACTGTTGGCTGTACTGTTACCATCAGAATGTTTCATACAGTGAAACCAGAATACCTGCACATCTCTAAACAGAAAATTATTTTAATATCTTGAAAATAAAAGTCTTCCAACTTAAAATCCAAATTTGAAATTGGGAAAAATGTCCATCTTCACAAGCCTGTTAAACAATTTTGATTTCATCGCAGTATTTTACTGTGTATGATACCTATAGATCGATTCCACGAACTATATGCTGAGCAAGATGTTTGATTGCACCAACAGATAGATGGTAGAAAGATAAGGTAAAAGTTTATTTGCTTTACTGAGGGCCTTCCCCATTGCACCATCAGATATGAGACACTTCTTATTTGCATTAATGCACCAAAAAAAAATTAATTTAACAATCTTTCCAATCAGCGGCCGCTCCACATGTGCACACCCTTATAAGAGTGCATCCCTGATCAGGCTGTGTGTTACTCTGTCCTGGTAGCTTTAAATAAATAGTGATGAAAATAGAGGATCTCGTGTTTTCCAAGACTATTCAGCAACATCATGGAAACTGGCATAATGTGGAGAAGAGCTCACAAAAGCTAACAACGACCTTGTTTAACAGTAGATTTGTGCCGCCTTGTAGGAGGTTATAATATGATTTTTTCAGCTGAGCGTCCTCTGCTGTTCCACAGGTCCTTTCAGAGGAAAGGGAGGAGCTCCACACCACGATAGAGTCCCGGGATACATTTGTGCGAAGAGCCAGTCTTGAGCGGCAGAGGCTCCGCAATGAAGCTGCCAGACTCAACCAAGTACTACAAGCTAAAGATCAAGTCATTCGGTAGGTGGATTTCTCCTTGTAAACAATGCGTTTTCAGCCGTCACGCAATGATGTAATACAGCAACAACACACACGAGGGCGTGCTATACTGATGTTGTAGGAAGGCTGCACAGTTTCAGTGCCTTTGTGCTGTATGAAAAGAGATTTTATAGAAGTCAATACAGCCCAACTCTCCTGTTTATTCAGCTCTCTGGAGGACTGTCTGGCGGCTCAGGGCTGTGCTGGCGTGGAAACCCTCAGACAAGATCTGGAGAAGACTGCAACCAAGCTCCACTGCGCCCAAGCATGTGAGGTTCATCTCAAGGCTGAACTGGCATGTCTCAAAGAGAGGTGAATGCTTGCCTCTTTAAACACCCACACTGTTATTATTTGTGCTTCTGTGTGTCTTGAAATTTTTTTCGCTTTACCTTTTTGGTGTTTTTGTGATTTGCTCAGACTGGAGAGAGTGAGCCTACAGAGAGCTGACCAATCTAAGGTGGAGGAACTGAAGAGCATTAAAGCGGAATATAATTCCTCTGTTGCTGAAATAAAAAAGGTCAGGAAGTGTCTCTGGCTTGTTATGTCGTGGGAGTTTTTGAGCTATATGCTGTATTTGTGTGAAGTAGTGCCCTATAAACATTTATATTCTCACTCCTCCGGGTTCATTCTACAGCTCAGAGAAGAGCTCCAAAGGGCCAAGCAGACTCACAGTGGTGAGGTGGAAGGAATGAGGAAGGAGGTGTCAAAGCTGACCACTGAGCTGCACCAACGTGACATCGCCGTCGCCACACTGAACGGCTCTTCGTCCAGCATCAAGCAGCAGCTTCGTGATGAGGTGGGGCGAGCAGAACAGAAGGCAGCTGAGCTGAAAGTAAGCAAGAAATCAGGTGTAGCCCTGTGCAAATACCTTATTTTAAGTGATACATTTTCTACAGCACTCATTTAATCTAATAGTTGTATGGCAAGAGACCTTTTTAGACTTCTGAAGTTCCTGAGAATACCTCTGTATTTTCTTGGTATTAACTCCTTGTCTTGAAGGTTTGAGGAAAACTGCATCATGCGCCTACATTTTTGTTCTTCCCCCGACTTTCTTCAGATGACCCAGGCACAGGTCGAGACTCTACAAAGTGAGAACCAGCACCTGAGGGGTCTGCAGCAGAGGCTGGAGTCTCAGTCACCTAAGGTTTGTTTTCTTTGACATAGTTATGTAGTCATTACGCAGTTTTACAGACCACAGCAGACGGTTTATTTGACTTCAGTGATTGTTTCTAAATCTGACTAATCTCTTCTCACTGCTTTTCACTCCCTGACTCACTTTGCTCTCCACAGGGGGGTGATTACTCGCTTGCATCCCTGAGGGAGAGTTATGTGTCATCTCTGAGCCGCCTGGAACAAGAGAATCGGCAGCTAAGGCAGGCACTTGCTGAGATGCGCTCCCGACTTGAGGTCTCCAACCTGACGTGTCAAGACAAATATGAACAAGCTCTGCTCAGCCACGCCATGACTGACCAACCACAGCCTGCTCAGGACAGGTACCGGGCACGCACACATGCACACATGCACAAAAGATCAAGAAACGGAGCCTTCATGAAACTTCTTGGGGTTTTTCTTTCTGTAGCAATGAAGATGCCAGACATCGCAAACACAGGCAGGAGGTGCAGGCGACGAAAGCTAAGCTGCAGGGGAACGCCACTCTCTACGAAGGGAAGATCCATAGGCTCTTTAAACAGCTGCACACCCTGTCCCAGTCCCCCCGGAGAGCACCCCTGCAGTCAGGCCCGAGACAGCAGGCCTCATTCATCAGCATCCTCCCTCCTCTGGTAGCATAAGACTCACCAGGATTAACTCTGTGCAAACCATAAGTTCAAATGAATCCACTGCTGAGGGACAAAGCTCCAGCTCCGAAGACTCTCTGACCTTATTGTCCAGAGAAAACATCATATCCTCTCCCTCTCTACTGGTGAGGCTCGTCACAGATAATCAAACAAGTCCGCAGTTGTGGTAAAACTAACCTTCTGCCGTCCTCTTTTTAGCAAAGAATCCCACAGTTGTGTGTTTTTCTTCTCTCACAGGAGCCTTCGCCAGTGTCACCTGCAGACAGCATGGTCTCTCGTTTCCTGGAGGAAGAACGCTTACGGTCCACGGAGCTGCTCCAGAGACTGGACACCCACATCCAGGGTATGAGCGAGGACAATGTCAAGACCGTGTCCAAATACCTGCCAAGTGGCTCAGCGCCCGAGCCTGCCCAGACTTCAGTACAGAAGGGTCAGTGACAGAGTAAGGTGGAATAAATGTGGAAAAAGGTGCCTTAAACAGCAGTGCCGAAGACTACGTTCTTGTACTTTATTAGACTGTTTTTATTGGAGAGTGACATTTGTGTGTGGGGTGTGCTTCACGTGACTGAATTTAAGTAACATATATTTACATTTTTACACAGTTTGCAAATTTAAGTTCAGCGCAGAGCTTTGAGTTTCATAAGAACTGTCAAAAGAAGTGATGTGTAATTTATAAATTCCATCCCCACTGTGAAGGACAAGTTGTATGAGGTTACACGTATGACAGCAGCTCAGATTGTCACCTGTGATTCTTCTGATTCTGTTCATCATGTGTTTATTTTATCTGTGCAGAAGCTCAAAGAAGTGTTCCAGCATTTATGTTTCCGCTAGGGGAACGCTTTTGTCCCATCACGTTGGGCTTTTCTCAAAGAGCGAGTGCTGACAAAGGCTGACTGATTAAAGGCTTTGCATCACCTCGCGTCTTGTGATAAAAGCTGCATTTAACACAGCCCAAAGACTTTAGCTGACTGTTCATGTTCTAAGGCAAACAAACTACACTACCATTTTACACCACTATTAGTCTGTTTAAAAACGGGCTCCAGAATATGTTCATACATGTGTCCGAGAAAAAGTTACTACTCGCACTGTAAGGATTTGCTTTACTTTGCACTAGAATTGTTAGCCTTAGGGCTGCACCTTACAATTTTTGTCAGAAATCAGTAAAACAAAATGCCTTCTACAATGTCACAGATAATCTAAAACCCGGTTTACTATAATTTAAGACAAGAAAAAGCGGCAAATCCTCACAGTTCTGTGAACTAGGTCTCACCGACTACAACACGCTTAGCTGTCTGAGCGGGTGAGACACACCACCTTAACTTTGAGTCATGGTGTTTGGCATCTGAAACGGTCAAAGCCCCAACATGTATTTACTGCTACGAGTTCATCCAAATTGTTTGCAAATTGTTTCAGAAAGTCATCGCTATATCCGACGTAATGCAAAGAGATGCCCAGTATATTTTATGCTATGTGCTTTTAATAGATTAAAATGGCCATAGGAAATTGTTGGCTTTCTGTGTGACCTCACATAACTGGCTTTCGGTTGCTGAATTGCACCTGTGTTACTTGTTGGAATTCTGACATTAAGTGGAGACCTTTTGCGCTTCTCCTCGGAGGATGCTGCACAGTCCAATTTTTCAAGTTGCCTGGAATGCAGCAATGATCCGAGCTTTGCATTTACATCCTGAGAAAAGAATGTTGCTGTGAGCCAAAGGAGCATCCATCCTCCCTGAACGTCTGTCATAACTGGGGAAATACTACATATGTACATGTCTGTCCAGACATCCTTGACAGTAGGGAGAGGGAGGAGGCAGTGTGCACTGTAGCTCTTCTCTTTCCCCCCCAGTTACAAGTACCAGCCCCCCACCACCACCACCCACCCTGCAGAGGCCCTCTGGCTTGTCAAATACAGGAATGTGTGCACCATGCCAATGCTGTCATGAACCTTCCCCTGCGGCCTACTTTGTCTTCATCATTAGAAAGCTGATGGAATGTTAATATCAACCATGTGGGGCACTCAACCTCAACAACACTGAAGGGCCAGGAGGGAATAGTTATATTTTACAGCTTTCCTAATGAAGGACACACTGTGTGATGGAAATAAAGTGGAAAAATTTCAAGAAATGTGTTTTTGTTTTTGCTGTCATGCTGCTATAACAACAATGCAGACGTTCTGCTCCTCTGTGTCTGAGTCCAATGACTTCTCACTTTGGTATTTGGTAGTCTGTGTTGCTAGCACTGTAAGCCCCAATAAACAGCTCTGAGGAATTTGGTAAGGCAGGCATTCCTCTGGCGCTCACTGGAGGGAGGTGAAAAGGTTTTTATATGAGGAGATTCTTTGAAGGGGCCTAGTAAAAGGGAGGAGGAGGGAGGCGGATTTAGTTCCAGGGGGAGTTTGGACTGCCTTATTATTTACATAATGATTCACAGGAACAATTTGCTATAGGCTACAAGGTGATTGAGTAAATGCTTAACTGATTAATTTAATGAATTGAATTGCCTGAATTAGACTCCTAACCCTATCAGGACAAATCTTACAATGCACCGTCCATCTTAAGGAATTCTCTTGGTTATTCATCACCCCTGGATTATTATGTTTTGCTTTTACTGATTACGTTATGAAAGAGGGTATTATTTTACAGGGCAATTTATTATTGCACTTATATAATCTTGGTTGACTTACAAGAGACATATTAAAAAAAGAAATGGTTAAAATTGAAGCTGCAGAAGCCAAGACATTCTGACTTTTAGCCTCAAATATTGGTCAAGCCCGCAAAACACTGAATCCTACATTTCCCATAATGCAACAAATCAGTGTCTTTCGTTAGACCCTCTCTGTGTAGTAAATGCTCATGTCTTCCAAAGTCCACGCCCCCAGCTTGAAACAGTTTAAATTAAGGCTAGTGTAACACCCAATGTAAAATTTAGTAAATACAGTTTTGTGTAAAAACCATTCCACTAACTTAACTTTCTCATTCAAGCATTAATGTCATAGCTTCTCTTGCTCTACCACAAAGAAGCAGCAGAGGGTGCAATTTAAGTGTTCTGTTGTCACACTGGTCAACAGTAATGGATCTGCCTAGTCAAAGACTCAATCAGATACTTAAATCAACCAGTAATTCAGAGGCTTGTGTCTGTGTTTGCAACTAGAAAGCTACTTTCCTGCTGCAGGAATGCCTCTACAGTCCAACACCGCACTGAATGCCTTATGCCATGAGCCAGACTTCTCCGAGGTTACATGAAGTGAAATTAACAAATAAGTGAGTGCTCGGTGGGGAAATTGGTTCACATTATCAACCCATCTCGAGGGAGGGCGGTATCGGAGGCATTTGAGGAATTTCCCTTATCTGTGAGATCATAACTTGTCATTAAACCCTGGACTGGCAGGAGATCAATGAGCAAGAGGAGGGGGAATATCTCTGATTCTCTGAGTGATAACCGATTCAAACCATTACCCGGTATCGACAAGTAACACATTTGGCCCACAGTTTGTCTTTGTGTGCAAAAGATTTTAACTTAGTTACACAAAATTGAGAAATGTCATGGTGCGCCTGCTTACTCACAGGCCGTTGCACCTTTACAGATGTGATAAAAAATGTCTTTCTATGAATTGCCAAACTTCCTTTACAAGATAAGATGACTTTTCCCAGAATTGTTGCAGCCTGCATGCCTTCTTTGTTGCACATTCCATGGTGGGGCCTCGGAGAACATGCCTGTTGTGCTTCACGTGTGTCCATGTCCCAGCCATGTCCCTTGTGTGATGGGAACGTCTCATTGTTCTTGAGTCTGAGCGTGCTCGTGGAGGGTGGGGGGGTTCACTGCAGGATATTTGAAATGCTGCAGAGACAGAGGGGCGCAATCTTATCAGCGCGCTTGGTGCTACGTGCCAAGGGAACTGTGCCAGAGAGGCCAAGAGGAAAACACTAATTCCTCTAACACACAATAAGTGCGTGCATGCACATAAGTGTCCCACTTACAGTTTGTCTGCTTGCATGCTGTTGCATGTAAACAGTGGTAACAGAAGCGTTTAGGCCTTTTTCCCGTAAAAGTAGGAGTACCATAACATAGAAATAATTTTTTGACTTTGAAAAATGTATCAACTCCCTGTGTTTCCAAAGCTTTAAACCGCGTCTCTTGGCCTGCCTCAGCTTTATGAGTTGTCTCAGGTGTTATTGGTGATTATGTTGGTCATCACCTGGTCTAAATATGGATTCCACTCTTTGTACCCGTTGGCCCCGAGTGCAACCTTGGTCATGCTTCTCCATATATACATGAACACAGGGCGCCTATTAGCGATAATGTTTAGATAATAGAAAAACAACTCTTTATTTTATATGCAGCTGTTAAATTAAAGTGGAGTAAAATCTAAATATTTCCCTGTAAAATGTCATGGAGTATAAGTATAGTGGTATTAAACAGAAAATTGTACTAAAACCCAGTACTTGAGTAAATGCACTCAGTTACTTTCCACCCCTGGCTGGTCAAGTGAGCAGATCCTGTCAGCGCTTATCCCACTGAGGTTTTGTGAATGTGCAGACAACTATTTTAGTGTATGAAGCCCGAGGAAACGCTAAGTAAATGATTGTGGCATAGAAAGAGTGGGAACCAACACGAGGGCGGCCCCATGCCTGGTTTTGATTAGGGTCCCCAAATCACTGAATCCACCTCTGGCTTACTGTAGTAACCCTTTCAACCCATGGCTCTTGTTCTCCTTAGATTTCCCTCAGAAAAACAAAACATGCAGCATTTTGCAATGCGCTGAATGATGTAATGTCACATACAAGCTGTATGTGGTGGATATAACTAAGAGTAAGTTCTTCAGAATGATACTTAAACTTGACCTTACCATATGGGCCATTGCCACACAGTGACTGAGAGCGAATGTGTATGACATTTTGGGTCGTTTAATTACTTTCATGCCTAAATTAAAAGAAGGTGATACAGTCCAAGGCTGACACCGGCATTATAACACACCCTGAGGACATGTGATTCACAGGCTATTTTTTAACAAATACAAATATGTTTTAAAAAATATTTGTATTGGTCTGTGCAAGTCTCATTTATTGAGGCTGATTTGTTCCGATGAGAAATATTTAAGCCATGTATCTAATGTTTTTGTACACTGTCAAAATGTCAAAAGGTTTTTCTTTGTACTATTTTTCACTAAACCCAACCTAGAGAATTTTTTTAATGAAGTGGAAATTAGTATGTATGTGCTTTTATGTGTACTTTCCAGGTACATGTACTTTACTTGAGTATTTCCAATTTATGCAACTTTATGCTGCTGCTTCACTACATCTCAGAGGGAAATATTGTATGTTTTATTCCACTGTATTTGTCTGACAGCGTTTGTTACTAATTACATTTCAGATAACAATTTTTCATAGCCTGCCTGTCCAGAGAAAACCATGTATCTCCAAATTTGGTGATATTGTCTTTTGAATTTTCTGATAAACTGAAGGATGAAGTGTTTTGTATTGAGAAAATCCTCCTACTCCTTAAGTTAAATAAACTGCAAACAGTAATAAACAGCAGTTATATGAATCCAAAAACATCATATACAGTATTTTTCTTATCTTGGTTTACATTGGTGAGGGGCACAATACTTTGAACAGCAAGTGACTTTGTGTCTTGATATAAAATCGCTGGTGAATGACTGGTGAGATCTAAACTCTTTGGCTTCCCCTTGTCCAGAGGTAGCTGCAAACTTCAAATTAAAGGCCCAATCTGTCATTTTTGTTTTTTGACCATTTAGACTGCATATATAATTTTAATATTAATAATTTCATAATTTGACTTAAAGATAAATAACAAAACCTCTGTTGTTTGAATTGAAAGTGAGGGCATGTTTTACTTCTGTGTTTGCATGTATTGCTGATGTAAACTGTTATATGACCCATTAATCAATCTAAGAGTCAGGATCCAAACCAGTGTTTTTAATTTTGGTGCTGGGGCAGCCCGTTTGTTTAAATTATGAGCATGGGTTGTACCTTTTAATGAGATGGGACGAACTCTCTGTACAGTATGTTTAAAAGTCCCCCACCATTCTCAGATAGCCCTAAAGCCATAGCTTTGTCAGTCCCAAATAATATACATTCTTGAAAAATGGAACATTGCCTTGTCGATATTCAACCCCTTCAGAACAGTTTCTACGTGTACACTTTGATGTTGGGTTCTGTTATGTAAAAACTATTTAGAGCATTCCTTGTTCATTCATGGCTAATGAGGGCAACCATTTGGATCGTCGCGTGTAATTAGTTTTCAGATTTCCCCTGCAACCACAAACATCCCAGGCTTTAGCCTCATTTTCTCTCTCGCCGTCTTACGCAATGACATGCGCAAGGTTGATTGAGTGTGACCATTGTGCAGTGTCTTGTGCTTCAGGACTGAGGTGTGAGCTGTGACAAAATATTAAATGTATAAAACAGTGTGAACCAGACACAACCTTCACATCCCAAATTAAAAGATAAGAAATGTTTTGGTAGCCATTCAGTCTGTGAAAATTGTGACATGCTTGATGAGGCTGTGCCTGAAAAAGAAACTACAGCGAAATAAGGGGGGTGGGGGGGGAGGACAATGTACAACAACTGAATATAATCTACGCCACACAAGCATCCTGGGATATGCTGATGAATTGGTGAGAGGAAGAGTCAGTTTACATTCTTTCAGTCATAGTGACATAAACAGCTGAACATGTTTTGATTTGTGGGTCTGAGAAATGCCTGAGGAAGTGACGCCCTTCCTCGTTTGTAGTTTTCAAAAACTTTCTTATCTTTCCATGATCCTGTAGAAGTGACATGAGTGACACTTACCTGCAACAACATCTAAAATTATCCTCCATGCTTTGTCACAAATTCACTTAGACACATTTTCCATTTTCAGGTGTCTCGCAGAGGTTACAGACTGGTTAGATCCTGGTTTATGCTGCCGGTCTCATTGCCTGATCAGCAGTTCCCAACCCACGGGTTGAGACCCCTAATGGGGTCACAACATAATAAAAAAATAGGAGAAAAGAATAAAAAACATTTCTGCAACACAAAATTATTTTCTTAATTTGTTGTTGTAAATCTTTGTTTTTTGGCAAACAGCTTTGCTCCACGAACGGCAATGTTGGTCTGTT